CCCGGTGTGGCTTTTTTGGCGCTACCCCGCTGGCGGAGCAGAGTGGATGAGCAATGCGCTCCCATGCGTCTCATTCCCAGAGCTGCCTCTCATCGCCGCATTTTCCGCTGAAGGATGCGTTCCTGCACCATGACAGTAGGTAGAATGCGGGGCCTCTCAGGTGACGGCTCTCCGCTGACGAGATACCGGCGCACCGGCAGCCACACAGCGATCAGCGTTACAAGTGCCAACGCGGAGGTGGGTGGAGCGAGCTGGATGGGAGGCAACTTCGCTACAATGATGAAGGAGAATTGGTTGTTGTATATCCCTCTGTTTTGCCCTCCCATCTCCGCACTCCGTACATTGATTGTGTTGCTACTTTGCTGACGAGGTGTAACGAATCTGACCGTTGCTTTTCCATGCACAATACCATCACATGTCGTTCGCCCAACCCCCCCACCCCTCACCTCCTCTCAGCACTGTCCTGGACTAGCGAGGAGCTCATCTCAACGCTGCGACACACAATCTGGGAGCGTGGCAGAGTCACCAAGACTACTTGAGCTAACGTTTTTTCCTCCCTCCTCACTCAGCAGAATGGTCCTACCCTCTTCGCTCCCTCCCTCACTCCCCTCCCCTCCTACCTTCCCCTTCCACACCAAAAGGATGTGCTCGGTATTAGCTGTGAGGAGAATTCGCCTCCGAAGTAGGAGGGACTAAGTGGGGAGAAGATGGTGACGAGGGTTCTACGTGGAGTGTGACAAGCCAGCTGGCAGCCGGCTTGGCGGGCCGTCAGCTCGTAGTCAAGCCAATGTCGTCACGACAGAAAGTTACGCATCCGCTCTTGGCGAATTGGCCGTGAAATGGTGTGTTTGTGTGGATATGCGACCAAACTCCAGATCCTCGCAGAAGAGAGGGACGGCGCGCACAGGCGGTGAGCCCGTACTGGCTGGACGGGACGGTTTTCACTCCATCCGACCAGCCATGAGCCGGGGGCAGCTGCCGGCTCAGCGCGGCATGGCTCAGCACGAGTCCGCATGGTTCGGACTCTTGTTCATGGCTCCGCCACTGTCTTTAAGGCTCCTCAAAACTGGTGCTCGTAGTGAGCGTGGCGAGAATTATGGTGCTCAGTGCTTGATAACGTCCTTCATGTGATGCTGGGAGTAAATTCCACCCCTTGCGTCTCGCCTATCCAGCCTCATTTTGGCGCCTCTGCTGCTTTCGTGGATCTGGCAACAAAACCAGAACCCTTTTCGCGCATCTCTCTTCGCCACTTCGTCTCCCTCCCCGCTCTCCTCCCCTTCCCTTCCTCTTTTCTCACTCCCTCCCCAATAGCACTTTTCCTCCACGCTATCCTCTGCTGCGCACCATATTCTCCCTCAATCGCCTACTGCACTCTGGCATTCCCATGTTCCCCCTCGCAGGCTCCCATGATCTCATTCTCCCATACTCCTTTGCTCCCATTTCCCATGCTGCTTGATACCATGATCTTCTAGCCAGTTGGCCCATTCTCTCATACACCGACACTCCTTTGCTCTCATGCACCCATGCTCTCCTGCTCCCATTCTCTCATTTTCTGATTAGCCATTACTCGCATGCTCCATTCCTCCAGTGCTCCCCTGTCCCCACTATCGCTTGCTCCCATGCTCCCATTCTCTAATGCTCCCATGCTCCCATGCTCCCATGCTCCCATTCTCTAATGCTCCTATGCTTCCATGCATCCATGCACCCATGCTCCCATGCACCCATGCACCCATGCACCCATGCTCCCATGCACCCATGCACCCATGCTCCCATGCTCCCATGCACCCATGCACCCATGCTCCCATGCTCCCATGCACCCATGCACCCATGCTCCCATGCACCCATGCTCCCATGCTCCCATGCTCCCATGCTCCCATGCACCCATGCTCCCATGCTCCCATGCTCCCATGCTCCCATGCTCCCATGCTCCCATGCTCCCATGCACCCATGCTCCCATGCTCCCATGCTCCCATGCACCCATGCTCCCATGCACCCATGCTCCCATGCTCCCATGCTCCCATGCTCCCATGCTCCCATGCTCCCATGCTCCCATGCACCCATGCTCCCATGCTCCCATGCTCCCATGCTCCCATGCACCCATGCACCCATGCTCCCATGCTCCCATGCTCCCATGCTCCCATGCTCCCATGCTCCCATGCTCCCATGCTCCCATGCACCCATGAATCTGGGCGCTGCTTTTCCATGAGCAATTCTATCACCTGTCAATTGACAACCTCCCCTGTCCTCACTCTGATTTATGCCCCTGTGTGCTCCTTCCGCCCAACTCGCCTCTCCTTCCCTCACCAGCAGCACCTGTCCTGCAGTACGTGATAACAAACAGAGGCGCACGCAAATGGCATCAACAGACATGCTACCCTCCTGCCTCCTTCGCCCTCTCCCTAACTCCCCACTTCCCACACTAACAGCAGGAGAACGGCAGGCAGCGCAGCATGGCAGAGCCACGGGTAGCAGCAGCAACAGGAGCAGCAGCTGTGGTGGTGTGACATGGCATGGCGGTGAAGCTGTCAGCTGCTAGTGTGGGGACGGGCAGGGAGGTGGGCTGGGGAAGCAGCACAAGTCGTGGATGTGACGCTATGGCAGCGCGCGTTAGCTGGGCGGTGCTTCTGCCGTGGCTGAAGGTGTGTGTTAAGCATGTTCATATTGCTCCATCTATCTACATAGCAGAGCAGAGTGATGTGGGTAGTTGGGACTGATGAGGAGATCGGATTGAGCTAGAGCCATGGACTCTTAAATAGGCATAAGCATGGGTCAACCAGCCTAGGTCAACTCTTTCCTAACGTTGACGTCAGATACTGAACCAAGTCAGGCTGTTGGACCCCAACCGACTAGACTCGAACCGCTTTGAGAACTGGTCGGCTCTTGGCCCCGACCAGAGTGGGTAACTAATGTGGTTCCATCCGGACTCTTAGGAAAGAGGAAGAAAAGCATAAAACCATCAGAAACGAGTAGGAGGGGGGCCGGCGAAGTCAGGAATCACCAGTTTTGTGTCCACTTTGATGGGCTCCAACTTTACATTTCCAGTGTTGGGACGGGACTTGGTAACTCAAAGTGGACCTGCGCGGCTCGGGTCGAGTGGATGGTCACGAGTATGGTGGCTCGCGTTTGAAGAAGTGTTTTGAGACGTCTCAAAACACACTCGTCGCTCACCCAACGTGTTTGAGACGTCTCAAAACACTTCTTCAAACGGATGGTCACGAGTATGGTGGCTCGCATCGGGCCGTGCTGCTGCAGATTTCGTCCTGGTTCTTCTGTTTGGCTTGGGGAGGCTCGTTGGGCTGTGTCAAACCTGAGCGGATATGGATGTGACACTATGGCAGCGGACCCTAGCTGGACGGTGATTGTGCCATGACTGAAGGTGTGTGTTAAGCATGATCATATTGCTCCATCTACATAACAGGCCAGATTGATGCTGATAGTTGGGACTGATGAGGAGATTGGATTGAGCTAGAGCCATGGTTTCTTAAATAGGCATAAGCATTGGTCAACCAGCTAGGTCAACTCTTTCCAAACAGATGGCCCATGCCTTTTTCGGGTGCTTACCAAAACACGTGGGCCTAAACAGGTGTGGATGGTATGACCATGGTGAGTGGGAGTGGCGGTGAAGCGGCACAAAGAAAGTCATTCAAGCCGCTTCAACCTCCTGGGTAGTCATGAAGGTGTCGTACCAACCCAATCAACCCCCCATCCCCTACCCTTTCTTCCCCCGTTGCTGTCATTCGCCTGGTGCACAAACCATCTGTCCCTCTCCATCTCATGTGCTCCTCTGCCCACGATCACCCTCTCATCTGCTACCCACCATCCCAGCCAAGCAGCAGCACCGTAGCCCTTGCATCTCAGGCACACCTCTCCCTCCTCCAAACGTCACCTTTCACCACAACCGCTTGCTGTCATCTAACCCCCGCTGCACCCCGCTCGCCCTACTGTGCTGCTCAAACATTTCCTTCCCTGCAATCTTTCCCTGGACCCCCTACTTCCCCCCTTCTGCCCACTTTGTCCCACCTCCCATCCTATTTGACACTTTCTCACACTCTTGACCTCTCCCTTCCCCTGATCTTCCCCTATGTCGCCGCAGCTGCTTCTAGCTGAGGCATTGCCATGGTGGCATGGCGTGGAGGGAGGTGAGTCTGGTGGCTGCGCCAGTCGCGTCGACCTCCGAGTCTTCCGCCGTGGAATCAGTCCGCCCACTTCAGCTTCCGCGGACTTCATTTTCGCGTGTAACGGCGGTGCACGCGCGAGCAATCTCCTTCATCTGTTCTGTCCACGACCTATCTCCGACTAGCTGTTTTGTCCGCACGTCCTATCTCCGCCTGCGCTGCAGGCATGACCAAAGTGTGCCTGCGCTGTACACGCAGCGTATCTCCGCCTATCTGGGTGGGTTGCACGCGCGACCTATCTCCACCTATTTGTGCTGTGCGCGTAATAACATGCTGGGAATTTGGGGAAGCATGTGGCTGTTCCTCGATGATAACATGCTGTTCTGTGCGGTTCAGTTCGGTTAGCTCAACATTGGAGGATGTGGGGGTGGGTTGTGGAGCTCCACGAAACACCCAACATCCTCGAGTTTGATGAGATCCATTACAGTACCGTATATGACATTGACAAACATCTACACCGCTCATACTACTGGGTCTGTCGCTCAATGTTCAAGTAACACGCATATCATACTAATAAATATTGTTACTTAAACAATGATTCACAGAAAGTTTCACTAACCTCCTGTACAAAATGCACTGCACAACGGCATCCCGGGTGCGTCCATTTGCAGTGCATTGTCAAATAACAAAAACATGTGCATATTGAGCGATGTGCACCCACTTTCTCCACCCTGTTCCGTGATATCTAGTCCCCCCTGTCATCCCGCAATCTCTAAAGCCACACATCATCCTATCTTCTCCTTCACCAACCCTCTTTCCTCCTCTCCATCATTCTCTCCCCCCCCTCCTCTCCCTACATCTTTCACCCTCACCACTCACTCTCTCTCATCCTTCACAACCCTCCTGTCCCACCACTCTCCACTCCTCTCCCTCCACCTTCACCAGCCCCACCCGCTCTTCACTCCCCGCAATCCCTCTTCCTCCATCCTGCACCGTCCTCCCTCCCTTTGAACATCTCACCACCACTTCTTTTCTCAAACCACGAGGACCTACAGAGCAACGATTCAGGCGTTCTGCGCGAATCCAGGTTCGTCTCATCTGAAGCTGCAGGTGCTGCCTCTTTCGCTTCAGGTGGTTTTCCTGGTCGTTCAGGTGCTCGTTCTGCTGCTTCAGGTATTCCTCCTGCTGCCTCAGGTGCTCTTTCTGTTGCCTCAGATGTTCTTCCCTCTGCCTCAGGTGAATCTCCTCCTCCTTCAGAAGCATCTCCTTCCGCCTCAAGTGCTCCTCCTCTGTTGTTTTCATGTGTTTCCTCAACTTGCATCGGCGCCCACTCCTCCCCACAAAACGATGAACCTTCGTGCTCAGGTATCTCTTTTGCTCTCTCAGGTGGCCTCTCCTGCAACCAGCGCTCTCACCCTCAGTCACTCCTCCAACACGCCTTTGAAGCAACCCACTTCCACGAGCCATTGCAGCACACTCATTGTTCCTCAACCGTTCTTGGATGCGTTGAGGTGACTCAAACCGAGCCCCATCTTCCCCCACTTCCTCCTCCTTCACCACTGGACCATCCACGTCACACCCTTCAACCTCCTCCACCTCCGTTTCACACTCATGTCCTCCCCCATTGCCCCCAGCAGCTCTCCCCTCCCCCTTCCCTCCCCCATTGCCCCCAGCAGCTCTCCCCTCCCCCTTCCCTCCCCCATTGCCCCCAGCAGCTCTCCCCTCCCCCTTCCCTCCCCCATTGCCCCCAGCAGCTCTCCCCTCCCCCTTCCCTCCCCCATTGCCCCCAGCAGCTCTCCCCTCCCCCTTCCCTCCCCCATTGCCCCCAGCAGCTCTCCCCTCCCCCTTCCCTCCCCCATTGCCCCCAGCAGCTCTCCCCTCCCCCTTCCCTCCCCCATTGCCCCCAGCAGCTCTCCCCTCCCCCTTCCCTCCCCCATTGCCCCCAGCAGCTCTCCCCTCCCCCTTCCCTCCCCCATTGCCCCCAGCAGCTCTCCCCTCCCCCTTCCCTCCCCCATTGCCCCCAGCAGCTCTCCCCTCCCCCTTCCCTCCCCCATTGCCCCCAGCAGCTCTCCCCTCCCCCTTCCCTCCCCCATTGCCCCCAGCAGCTCTCCCCTCCCCCTTCCCTCCCCCATTGCCCCCAGCAGCTCTCCCCTCCCCCTTCCCTCCCCCATTGCCCCCAGCAGCTCTCCCCTCCCCCTTCCCTCCCCCATTGCCCCCAGCAGCTCTCCCCTCCCCCTTCCCTCCCCCATTGCCCCCAGCAGCTCTCCCCTCCCCCTTCCCTCCCCCATTGCCCCCAGCAGCTCTCCCCTCCCCCTTCCCTCCCCCATTGCCCCCAGCAGCTCTCCCCTCCCCCTTCCCTCCCCCATTGCCCCCAGCAGCTCTCCCCTCCCCCTTCCCTCCCCCATTGCCCCCAGCAGCTCTCCCCTCCCCCTTCCCTCCCCCATTGCCCCCAGCAGCTCTCCCCTCCCCCTTCCCTCCCCCATTGCCCCCAGCAGCTCTCCCCTCCCCCTTCCCTCCCCCATTGCCCCCAGCAGCTCTCCCCTCCCCCTTCCCTCCCCCATTGCCCCCAGCAGCTCTCCCCTCCCCCTTCCCTCCCCCATTGCCCCCAGCAGCTCTCCCCTCCCCCCCCTCCCCCAGCCCTCTCCCCAGTGCCCCCAAAAGTTTCCCCCTTCCCACTCCCTCCTCCATGCGCACTCCCCTCCGCTCCCCCCCAAGGCTGCCACCACCCCCCTCCATTCCCACACCCACCCCCACCCCCCTCTCCGCCATCCCTCTTACAACTTCGGTGCCCTCCCCTTGAAACGGCAGCATCACTGCCTCTCCTATGCGGCCCTCCCCCCTGGAAGGGAGGAATTGGGGTGCCCCTTCCTCTCCCCTCTTCCCTCCCCCATCATTTCCCCCCTTCTTAGCAGGGAGAAGGTTGCGAACTACTCCCTGCTCTTCATCCCTCTCCTCCCCTCTCCTTTCTTCCTCCTCTCTCATAGAATCTGCTCCCTCCTCCCCTCTACCTTCCCCAACCGTGCCAAAACCCCCTTGAAGCTGCCTCACTGCCCTTCCCAAGCTGCCCTTCTCACGGCCATACCTGGGAGGAAAGAGATGAAGTCCCTCCTCTTCATCCCTCTCCTCCCCTCCCCTTCCTCCTTCATCCCTCACCTCCCCTCCACTTCCTCCTTCATCCCTCTCCTTCTCACCCCTTCCTCCTTCATCCCTCTCCTCCCCTCTCCTTCCCTCTTCGTCCCTCTCCTCACCGCTCCTTCCCTCTTTGCCCCTCACAGCACTCAATATCTTCTCACCTTCACGCCCCCCGTCCTGCCTAGGAGCCTCTTCATTCCTCTCCTCCCCCGTACTTTTCTCTTTGCCCTCCCCCCTCGTTCCCACTTCCACCCTCTCCCCCTTTTTCATCACTCCTTCCCTCGCCTCCTCCCTCTTTCCCTCTTCCCCACTGACGGAATCAGCCTTCTTCTCGACTCCATGCCTCTGCATCACTCCCCCATGCGCCCTTTTCCCCTTCTTAACCCAATGCGCACTCTTCACCCCGCCCCCACTCCCTCCCTCCCCCCAATGCAAATTCCTTGCATGCTGCAGATTCTTCCCACTCTGCTTAACCCTGCAATGATGCTTCCTTACGTGTTTCATCATGTCGCCTCGACGCTTGAAGGTCCGAGGGCACTGGGGATGAGAGCATGGGTGCTGGTGATTTGGGGGGGGGGGGCAGGTGGGGAAGAAAACATGAGGAGAAACAAGCTGCACGTAAAAGACCGCAATGATGCTAGTGGGCCTTATTTGAGATTTGAGGCTCTTCAAGACGTGAGAGGCGAGTAGGAGGGACTGGGAGGCGAGGAAGAGGAGGCTTGTGAAGCTTGTCTGTACCGTGGGGGAGGCGAGGAAGAAAAGACGGATGAAGCGGACGAAGGGGAGAGGAGGTTGCAACACGGAAAGGGACGAGGGAAGGAGAGGAGGACGAGGAGGGAGTGAGAGGAGGGTAAGAGGAGGAAAGGAATAGGGGGGGAAGAGGCACGGAGGAAGTGGGAATAGGTAAAATGGGGAGTGGGAGAGGGGGGAGAGCGAGGGCAGCACACCTGGGGAGCATTGGGGTTGTGAACGAGTAGGTGTCTCTTTAACTGGTAGTTGAATCCAAACGCCTTTGCACAATTGTCATACGGACACACAAAATGCTGCGATGGAAGATGCAATAAAGGATGGACGACATTTGCTGTGAACATTTTGCAGAGAATAAAAATGCACTTATTCAACCACACTGTTGCTTCCTCGCATGCCGGTTGTATGCTACTGGTTGCTTGTATGCTGCTTCCGTGCATGATACACAATGTCTGTCAGCAGAGGAAGAAACATAGATACAAGGAACAAGCTAGGGAGGATGATTGATCGAAGAGGAATTGAGACGAGAGAAAAGCAGGGACGAGAAAGGGCGAAGATGAGAAAGAGGGAACGTGGAAAAGGGGAGGGAGAAGAGGGAATGGAAATGGTGGGAAGAGGAGGCAAGGAGGAAGGGGGAAAGGGGAAAGGGGGGAGAGAGAAGCGGGGAGGAGCGAGAGGGGGAGGGAAGAAGTTCATTTGGGAGGCATTGGAGATTTAATTGAGAAAGTGCCCTTTCAGCGGGTAGCTGAATGCGAATGCCTTTTGAAGAGGGAAGGGAAAAAAAGGGTCGCGGCAAGGAGAACGGGGGAGGGAGAGGGTAAAGGTGGGGAGGGGAAGTGAGTGAGGGGGTGGGAGGGGAGGGGGAAGGGAAGAGAGCTCACCTGGGAAGCATCAAAGTTGTGAACGAGAAGGTGCCCTTTCAACAGGTAGCTGAATGCGAATGCCTTTCGGCAACCTTCCTGTGGACACACGAACTGCAGTGGAAGAGGCACAAGGGGTGGCAAACCATGGCAGTGAAAGAGTTTGCACCTTATCTTCCACCGCACTGCTGCTTCCTTGCATCCACGAACACACGAGATGCAGTGAAGTGGTGATATTGGAGCGAGGGGGACGAGAGGCACAGAGGAGAACAGGTGGACTTTTGAGTCTTATAAGTGAGGGAGTGAGTGAGGGAGTGAGTGAGTGAGGGAGCGAAGCAAACCTGCTTTGAATGGATGGCCATGTGTTTCCTTAACCTTGACCGTGTAGCAAACGCAGTTCCACACTCCCCACACATGTAGAACTTCTCATGTCCCCACTTCCCCCTCTCCTCCTCCTCATCCTCCTCTTCCTCATCCTCCTCATCCTCACCCACCAAATCCACATAGTCCCTATCTTCTCCCCACACCCCTCCCCCCTCCCGTGCCTCTTTCTCCCTTGCATGTGACCCTCTAGCCCATCCCCTTCCGCCCTCTAATTCGTGTTCCTGGGAATACCGTGTTTCCGTGTCCCTCTCCTCCCCCTTCATCTCTCCTTCCCTCTCCCCCTTCCTCCCTCCTTCCCTCTCCTCCCCCATCTTTTTCTCCGCTTCCCTCGCTTCCTCCTTCCTTTCGTCGTCCCCATAAACAAAATCGCCATCACCCTCCTTCTCGCCTCCATGCCTCCCCACCACTCCCCCATGCGCCTTCATCCCCTTCTCCCCCCCATGCTGTTTCCTTGCATGCTTAAACATGTCGCGTCGTCGCTTGAAGGTTTGTGCGCAGTGGGGATGAGAGCATGGGTGCTGGTGATTGCGGGGGTTGGGGAGAGGAAGGAAACAGATACACGAGAGAACAATGCACCTAATAGACCGCACTGGTGCTTGTGAACTTGCCTGTACTGTACTGTCAGAGAGGCGAGAGATGCAAGAGGAGGAACAGGGGAAGGATTGGGATGGGAGGTTGCGATATGGACAGGAATGGACGTGGGAAGGAGAGGACGGGGAGGGAGTGAGAGGAGAGAAAGAGGACGAAGGAAAAGCGGCGAGGAGGCAAGGAGCAAGGGGGAATAGGGAAAAAGGGGGAAGGGGGAGAGGGATAGAGCGAGGGAAGCTTACCCGGGGAGTGTTGGGGTTGTGAGTGAGGATGTGCTCCTTTAACCGGTTTCTAAATGAGAATGCCTTTCGGCAATCGTTATGCGGACACACGAACTGCAGTGAGAGAGGCAATAAGGGAGAGAGGGGACGGGGGAAAGATTGAAAAAAACAGGTACACTTTTAGATCGACTCAAAAACGACAAGGGGATGAAGGGAAAAGTGTAGGTTTGAAGTGTGAGAGAGAAAGGGAGAGGCGAGGCGAGTGAGTGAGGGAGCGCAATTGTGAGGGAGGGAGAGTGAGTGAGCGAGAAAGCGAGCGAGCGAGCGAGTGAATGAGTAAGTGAGGGAAGCGCACCTGCTTCGAGTGTGTGGCCACGTGATAGTTTAACTTTTTTCGAGTAGGAAACGCCATCCCACACCTCCCGCACTTGTAGAGTTTGTCATGTCCCCACGTCCCCCTCTCATCCTCCTCATCCTCCTCCTCTTCCTCATCATCCTCATCCTCACCCACCAAATCCACATAGTCCCTATCTTCTCCCCACACCCCTCCCCCCTCCCGCACCTCCTTCTCCCCTGCATGTGACCCACTTGTCCAACCACTTTCGCGCTCTAACCCGCAAAACCCCATCCCGCTATTTTCCATGCGACCCTCCCCAATCCCATCACCACCACCACCGGCCAGCACTCTTCCCTCACTCCCACCACACCATAACGCCGTCTTGCCTCCTCTCCCGCGGCATCCCCCTGTATCAACCGCATCTCTCCCTTTTTTCCCTCCTCCCTGCCCAGCTTCACCCGCTGCTCTCTCGATTCGCGAAATCTCTTCCGCCCGCGCGCCTTCAACTGCAGTCTCCGCGCCATTCCCCCCCACGAGAACAGGCGGAACGGGCGGACCGTGCAGGACGAGCGGAACCGGAGCAACCCCCTCGACATTCTGCCCCTGCGTGGGAACGGGGGGAAGCTCCGCGCCATTCCGCTGCGCCAGACAAGGCGGAAGCTCTCGCGCGTCACATCTTAGAGGCGGCGGGTTGCTCGGCGGATTTGGAAGTCCGAGAATCACGCCAATGCCCGTTGTGAGGCCGATTACGTTTCGCGATTCCATGACTCACATTTCACCTCGCAGGACTAAGTAGAATCAGAAGTCGACTCAAGAATCACGCCGCTGCCAGTTGCAAGGCTCGTCGCATCCCGCAATTCCCCCTTGCCATGCGAATGAATGCTTGTTACTTTGGGCGTGACTCAATAAATCCACGAGTAAAATGTGCCGTCCCGCGAGTAATAAAACCCGCGAGTCTGGAATTATAACCCGGAATGGCTGCGCCCCCTCTCTAACACCCTACTAGCAGACGTCAATCTTTTGCGCCGATTTTGAAGCCACCTTCTACCACTCTACGACATAGTGAGACTATTTTCCCGCGAAGGGCGTGTTACCGACAGTGCATTGCGCGACGAAGACCCGCTAAGGAACACCCGCGCGGTCTACTCGCCTCTTAACCGTGTGCCTGATGTTCGCCCGCGCGGTATACCCGGCCCCGCGTTGTGAATGCTAGATTGAATGGTACTGCGGCGCGCATTGGACCTTAAAAGGCTCCGGTTTGAAGCTTACTCTATGCCTCTAACTCCTTTAACCCAGTCGATTGCCAATGGCTGCCGAATCATCATGCTCGGATAATTAAACGTGGCAAATAGCGAATCCTCGGAGCTGCGCATGGCGGCATCGCGTTTACAGCCGACGCGCGTTTTCGGCGGGAGACTGGAACGGGAAACATTCGGAGCCGCCAGCCGCAGCGCTCAACCGACACACAGGAATTTCTCACGACGCGTGAAGATAGTGACGGCTACCGAATCTGGACGGCGACAGCCGTGCTAACTGACGCATATCTTAGCTGCTGGCGAATACGACCTAATAGTAGCGACTGCGAGAAGCGCGAATGGTTGTGTGGAAAAAATGGGCGATAAGCTATTACGCTGCGAAAGTCTCAAGCAGGGGCGTTTCGTACATCACCCTGTTTTCGCATTAGCGAATATGCTGGCCAAACGAGCATTGCCGAATCCCGGTACAATTTGCGAGACACATAAAATCACCTGTTACACAGCTGCTATCGTTCGCCTTTTCAACATTTTCAATTTTGCCCACATCTTCTGTGGCATTGGTAAACTCCCCAGATTGTGTTCAAGCGTCCTTCGCCTGCTCCGTCAAGCGCTACGGGTCTTCAAGGCTCAGCATCACTACTAATCGAATCGTAGTTGTTAGCAGAGTCAACAATATACCTCCCTCGTCTCGCTACTTTATCCGCTCGTCTCTATACCTCTCGAAAATCGTTCAGCAAGAGCCTGCATCGTTTGGCCTCTGCCGCAAATTCATAAGCTTATTTTATCGAGTGAAGATCAGAACTAGTACTGCGCACTTCAGATCGTTTGTAAATGTTCGATGCACAGTTCGAAACTCAGATTCAAGTGTCTGCAAAGCCTAGGCGTCTTATCCTCACGACGTCAATCTGCGAAACCCTAGAAACAGGCCTGAGGTAAGGCGGGTCCTGTCATTCCATCCTTTCGGCTCGCATATCGGCACTACCCTCTTTTTCCTCCTTTCGTCGAAAGCTTTTGGGTCTTACGATGCTCCGCACCCTCTATTCCTCTCATCGTCCTTGTTCCTATGCCTCCCCACCGTCTCCATTCCACGTTGCCAGCGCGTAGAGTGCTGTAAGGAAAATAACGTACTAAACAGTCACTTGGCCATGCATGGAGTCGTCACGCTTCTATTCTCTTATTATGATGCTCGTATTAGGGTAAACTGACCGTCATCGGGAATCTACTCACATGTGACGTGTGAGGCATGGGGAAAATATGCTACAAGTAACAATCATGTGACCCCGTAACGTCAATGGTAAAAAAAAAATGCGTACGGTAACTGTATCGGGTATCGTGACGGGCTTGGTAAGCGGGGTCACGGAATCAGTCACCAGCAACAGCTAAAGAATCACGCGAATGGTAACACATGAAACTCCCGCCTGAAATTCCTGAAACCCGGCCGATTTCCCGCTCGCGCCAACTCGTGCGGAGAGGTTTGATGCACGCCTGTACCGTCGAGCCTCCAGCCCACCGTAACCACACCACGACCCGACGTGCTGTACACCCCCCTGCCTGATACGGTTCCAACCAAGTTACCTTCGACTAGCACACTTCCCGCCACACCTCTCTAGCTCGCGCCACCATCCATACCCCACGCTACTAGCTATAGCTTTCGCCAGCGCGCTTCCTAGGCGCTCGTTCTAAGCACCTGACGTCTATCAACGGTGCGTGCCTAAGCCGGAAAGCCTTTTCCCATCCGTTCACGTTGAGTCTCTTGTTACTCGTAAAATGCTAATAACATACGTAAAAAAAATCGATCAGACCGCTGTCGCGATGCGCCCAGCGGCTGGCGCGCCGCTCCGCGCATCGCGCCTATCGGGCCCGATCGTCGCGCGATGCAGTGCGGCCACTTCGCCGCTCGACGCATCGAGACGATCAAAAGCAGCCGCCGCCGCGATGCGCATTGCGGCCAGCGTTTGGCCGCTCCGCGCATCGCGCCGACCGGGCCGCCGCCGTCGCGATGCGCAATGCGGCCAGCTTTTGGCCGCTCCGCGCATCGCGCCGACCAGGCCGCCGTCGTCGCAATGCGCAATGCGGCCACCCTGCTGGGCGCATCGCGACGATCCGCCAAGCCAAAAGCCCGCTGCTCAGCGCGTCGCCCCTCTCTGTCCACCGCCGAGACCAGGGTGCCCATGCACTCTCGTCTAGCCTCCCCTCTCGTGCTCCCTTCTCTCCTATCCATCTTTCTCTCGTGCTCCCTTGCATGCCGTGTGATCCCCGGCCAAAGCCGAATTTTATGGCAATTCCCTCTCTCGTGCCAGGCCAGCGCATTTCTTTTATGTTGTCTCGTGCCTGGCTGCTCTCTAGTCCCCTCTAGTTACGTTGAGTATCCTCTCCATTCCTCTCGCTCACCCCCTCTCATACACACTCATCCCCTCTCCATCCCTCTCGCACACCCCCTCTCATACACACTCATCCCCTCTCCATCCCTCTCGCACACCCCCTCTCATACACACTCATCCCCTCTCCATCCCTCTCGCACACCCCCTCTCATACACACTCATCCCCTCTCCATCCCTCTCGCACACCCCCTCTCATACACACTCATCCCCTCTCCATCCCTCTCGCACACCCCCTCTCATACACACTCATCCCCTCTCCATCCCTCTCGCACACCCCCTCTCATACACACTCATCCCCTCTCCATCCCTCTCGCACACCCCCTCTCATACACACTCATCTCCTCTCATACAATGTCATCCCCTTTCATTCGCTTTCATCCCCATTCATCCCCTCTCATTCCGTCTCATACACTCTCATACACTCTCAGCCCCTCCTACACTCTCATCCCCTTTCATCCCCCACACACTCTCATTCCCTTTGATCCCCTCTCATTCACTCTCATTCACTCATATTCCCTCTCATTCCCATTCATCCACTCTCATTCCCTCTACTTCCCTCTCATTCCTTTTCATCCACTCTCATTCCCTCACATCCACTCTCATCCCCTTTCATCTCCTTTCATCCACTCTTCATTCCCTCTCATACACTCTCATACACTCATCCCCTATCATACACGCCCATTCACTCTCATACACTATCATCCCCTCTCATCCCCTCACACACACTCCCATTCCCTCTCATCCCCTCTCATTCACTCTCATTCCCTCTCATTCCCTCTCTTTCCCTCTCATCCCTTCTCATCCCCTCTCATTCACTCTCATACACTCTCATACACTCTCATCCCCTCACATACACTCTCACACACTCTCAACCACTCTCATCATCCCTTATCATACACTCGCATTCACTCTCATACGCTCTCATCCCCTCTCATGCCATGTCATTCCCTCTCATACACTCTCATACCCTCTCGTACCCACTCATATACACTCATATACACTCTCATCCCCTCTTATACACTCCCATACACACTCATACACTCTCATACACTCTCATTCACACTCATCCCCTCGGATCCCCTCACATCCCCTCTCATCCCCTCTCATCCCCTCTCATCCCCTCTCATCCCCTCTCATCCCCTCTCATCCCCTCTCACACACTCTCATACACTCTCTTACACACTCTCATCCCTCCTCATCCACTCTCATACACTCTCAACCCCTCTCATTCTCTCTCATACACTCACATACACTCTTTTTCACTCTCAACCTCTCTCATCCACTGTCTGATACACTCTCATCCCCTCTCGTACACACTCATACCCCCTAATCCGCTCTCATCCACTCTCATACACTTCCATACACTATCATGCACACTTATCCCCTCTTATCCCCTCACATCCCCTCTCATCCCCTCTTATTCACTCTCATCACTCTCATTCCTTCTCAATCCCTCTCATTCCTATTCATTTCCTCTCATACCTTTTCATTCTCTCTAATTCCCTCACATCCGCTCTCATTCCCTCTCATCCACTCTCATTCCCTCTCATTCCCTCTCATTCACTTTCATCCTCGTTCAGCCCCACTCATTCCCTCTCATCCACTCTCATACACTCTCAACGCCTCTTATCCAATCTCACACATCACAAAAGCTGGCCGCATTGCGCATCGCGACGGCGGCGGCCCGGTCGGCGCGATGCGCGGAGCGGCCAAAAGCTGGCCGCAATGCGCATCGCGGCGGCGGCTGCTCCTGATCGTCTCGATGCGTCGAGCGGCGATCGGGCC